ACATCGAGCTCGTCGGAGCTCCTCGCCGGCGCTCCTCATCGGAAATGAGGTTTGATCTTCACCCTCATTCTAACAATCTCCCACTTGGAGATCAAACCGCCGTCAATCAGGCTATCTCATCAAGCTCCTCTCCTGTGTGGCTCCGCCCTCATCATCTATGCATGAAGGCCAACTGAAGTTGCGCACAACTCCAGTTTCTGAACTGTCACCGTCTTTGTTAACATGTCTGCTGGATTCTTACTTCCTGGAATCTTTTCCAGTTTCAACACGTCATCTTCCAACAGGGATCTGATGAAGTGGTACCGAAGCGCAATATGCTTCGTTCTAGAATGAAATGCTGAATTTTTCGCCAAGTGTATCGCACTCTGGCTATCACTGTGCAAAACATTCTTCTCCTGTTTGAATCCCAGCTCTGTCAACAAACCTTGAAGCCATATCATCTCTTTACTGGCTTCAGTCACTGCAACATACTCAGCTTCTGTAGTGGATAGGGTAACGATCTTCTGTACCTGTGACATCCAACTAACAGCTGTAGTTCCAACGGTGAATACATAGCCGGTGGTGCTTCTTCGGTGATCAACTTCGCCGCCGAAGTCTGCATCTACGTACCCTTGCACTTCTACCTCTCCCTTACCAAAGTGCAAACACTTCTGTGTGGTGCCTCGTAGATATCTCAGAATCCACTTGACCGCTTCCCAATGAGCTTTTCCTGGATTCGACATAAACCGGCTGACCACTCCCACTGTATGGCCAATGTCTGGTCTCGTACAGACCATAGCGTACATCAAGCTTCCGATAGCTGAGGCGTAAGGTACCTGAGCCATACTCTCTTTCTCTTCTTCTGACTGAGGAGACTGATCCTTCGATAAGCGAAAATGACTGGCCAAGGGTGTGCTCACAGGCTTGGCGTCGCCCATGTTGAATCTCTGCAAAACACGGTTGATGTACTCCGTCTGAGATAACTGCAAGAGACCTCTCTTCTTATCTCTCGTGATTTGCATTCCAAGGATCTTCTTCGCTGGACCCAAGTCCTTCATGTCAAACTCCTTTGACAGCTGCTGCTTCAAACTCTTGATATCCTCCATATCTGCTCCTGCAACCAACATATCATCAACATACAGCAGTAGGATGATATAGCTGGACTGATATCTTTTGAAGTAGCAACAGTGGTCGGCGTTGCACTTCTGGAAACCTTCCTTGTGCATGAAGCCGTCAAACTTCTTGTACCACTGTCTTGGGGCTTGTTTCAGGCCATACAAGCTCTTCTTGAGTCTGCACACCAGGTTCTTTTTCTTCTTTTCTTCTGAGAAACCTTCTGGCTGGTGCATGTATATCTCCTCTTCTAGATCTCCGTGAAGAAACGCCGTCTTCACGTCTAACTGCTCGAGATGAAGATCTTCAATTGCTACAATACTCATCACGGTCCTGATAGTATTTAGCTTCACCACGGGAGCGAAAATATCGGTGTAGTCAATTCCTTCCTTCTGCTGGAAACCTTTGACAACTAGCCGGGCTTTATATCTTCTGGAACCATCCTGCTCCTCTTTCACCCGGTACACCCATTTGTTGTGGAGTGCCTTCTTACCCGTGGGCAACTCAGCTAGTTCCCACGTCTGGTTTGATATGAGAGACTTCATCTCATCTTTCATTGCAAGCTCCCACTTGCTCGCATCTCCACACTGACAAGCTTCATCAAAGCTTTCAGGCTCCCCACCATCTGTCAACAACAGATAGTTCATGTATCTCCTGTTGGGTACAGGAGGACGAGAAGATCTTCTTAATATCGGAGCTGGTGCGTCGGGCTCCTGCGCACCATCTTGTCCAACAGGCTCTTCTTGCTGAGGACCCTCTGCATTGGGTTCTTCCGAGAGGTTACTCGGGACATCATCTGCATCTACAAATATTGACTCGCTCTCTGAGTCATCTGTCTTGTGCATGTCCTTGTACATCACCTTCTCGTTGAATATCACATCTCTGCTCCGGATCACCTTCTTGTTTTCGTTGTCCCAAATGCGGTAGCCGAACTCATCTTCACCATAGCCGATGAAAGTGCATTTCTTTGACTTGGGATCAAGCTTATTCCTGCCTTGATCACTAATATGCACGTAAGCTACACAACCGAAAACTTTAAGATGTGAGAGTTTTACCTCCTTTCCGCACCATACCTCTTCTGGTATTCTGTGCTCCAATGGAACCGATGGACCTCGGTTGATCAAGTAAGCTGCTGTGTTGACCGCTTCTGCCCAGAACTGCTTCGGTAGGCCTGACTGTACCCGAATGCTTCTGGCTCTCTCTGTCAACGTTCGGTTCATCCGCTCAGCTACACCATTTTGCTGAGGCGTGCCGGGCACGGTTCTCTCCATTCTGATCCCGTGCTCATAGCAGAACTTCTTGAATCCGGTGTCTTCATATTCACCGCCATTGTCGGTCCTGAGCTTCTTTATTCTCAGACCGGTCTCATTCTCGACCATAGCTTTCCATCTCCTGAAAGCTTCAAATACTTCTGACTTATGCTTCAGAAAGTAGACCCACACTTTCTGAGAGTGATCATCGATAAAAGTCACGAAGTAGTGTTTCCCACCAATCGACGCAGTGGTGGTTGGTCCCCAAACATCTGAGTGAACGGGCTCTAGCTTCTGCTTCCTGGGGGTTCTGCCACTTGTCTGAAAGCTGACTCTCTTCTGCTTTCCAAGTATACATTCTTCACACATATCCATCTCCACTGACTGCAGTCCTGGGAGTTTTCCCTTTGTGTGCATGATTTTCATCCCCTTTTCACTCATATGACCGAGTCTCTGGTGCCACAGCTTTGAAGTCTCATTGCTTGCTGCAACTGAGATCGAACAATGTGCACCTGCTGTCATATACAGGGTACCAGTCTTCTTGCCTCCGGTAATTGTCATTGCGCCCTTTGAGATCTTCCAATCATCTCCATGGAAGGTTGTGGTGTATCCTTCGCCAGCCAACTGGCCTACGGATATTAAATTCTTTCTCAGGTCGGGAATATGCCTGACATCCTTCAGCTCCCATACTGACCCGTTCAACTTAATTTTCACCACGCCTTTGCCCACTATAGCACACGGTTGATCATCACCAAGATATACGTATCCAAGTTTTCCGGGGGTATACTTCTCGAAGAATTCTTTCTGAGAGGTAGCATGGAACGACGCTCCTGAATCTAACACCCAAGATTCCTCCTTGCTCTCCAAAGAGCATATCAATGCGTCGTCTCCTCCTGAAGTGGAGGTGACATTCACCTCTGCCTTCGCTTCCTTCTCCTTCTGTGCGCTCTTGCACTGATTCTTGTAATGCCCGGTCTTTCCACAATTCCAACACTCGATAGCCTTCGAGCTGTTGCTTGGATTCCTTGATTTGGACCTCCTGTCCTTTGATCTACCTCTGTAGTTTGATTTTCCTCGTCCGTTTCCTCTGGTTGAATTTCTACCTCTTGACTCTGTATGCAATACTGAAGAGGTTGTAGCTTCACCCGTCTCTCTCCGTCGGATCTCCTCGCTGAGAACCAAATCACGAACGTCGCCGAACTTTAACTTTTTCTTTCCCGACGAGCTACTCACAGCTGTGACTGTAGCATTCCAACTCTCTGGTAGGGAAGACAAAAGTATCAACGCCCGAACTTCATCATCAAACTCAATCTCAACTGAACTCAATTGGGTTGTAACCGTATTAAGTTCATTGAGGTGTTGTGCTACTGACGCGCCTTCCGCCATTTTCAGATTGAATAACCACCGCATCAAATGAACTTTGTTCGCGGCTGATGGCTTCTCATACATGTTTGAGAGTGCTGCCATAAGACCTGCCGTGGTCTTCTCCTTCGCTATGTTGAACGCAACATTGCGAGTCAACGTCAATCTGATAACTCCGAGGGCTTGTCTATCTAGAAGGTTCCACTCTTCTTCCTTCATAGAATCCGACTTCTTCCCCAATAGTGGTTGATACAGATTTTTCTGATACAGATAATCCTCTATCTGCATTTTCCAGAATCCGAAATCTGTTCCATCAAATTTCTCAAGTCTCATTTTTGCCTCATCTGTGACTTCCTCTAGATCGTTTCACGCTCTGATACCAGATGTTGGGAATTTAACGCCGAAATCCCTAATGCAACGGAAACGCAGAATAGAAAAAGTACACCAAGTTTTAACGAGGTTCGGCAACTGCCTACGTCCTCGGGAGCCACACAGTTAATTTCTTATTAATCAAACAAGAAATTACAATTTAAGAGCAAATCCCTAAACTAAGATTTCTCAACTGAAACACTGTAGCTACAGTGTTAATAATTTAAAGGGAATAAACCCCTTTCAAATCTCATGAGAATAAATGAATAACCCCACAATAAATACCCTCTTTAATCCTCTTTAATGATCTCTCTCTCTCATCATCTATGCATGAAGGCCAACTGAAGTTGCGCACAACTCCAGTTTCTGAACTGTCACCGTCTTTGTTAACATGTCTGCTGGATTCTTACTTCCTGGAATCTTTTCTAGTTTTAACACGTCATCTTCCAGCAGGGATCTGATGAAGTGGTACCGAAGCGCAATATGCTTCGTTCTAGAATGAAATGCTGAATTCTTCGCCAAGTGTATCGCACTCTGGCTATCACTGTGCAAAACATTCTTCTCCTGTTTGAATCCCAGCTCTGGCTTCAGTCACTGCAACATACTCAGCTTCTGTAGTGGATAGGGTAACGATCTTCTGTACCTGTGACATCCAACTGACAGCTGTAGTTCCAACGGTGAATACATAGTCGGTGCTTCTTCTTCGGTGATCAACTTCGCCGCCGAAGTCTGCATCTACGTACCCTTGCACTTCTACCTCTCCCTTACCAAAGTGCAAACACTTCTGTGTGGTGCCTCGTAGATATCTCAGAATCCACTTGACCGCTTCCCAATGAGCTTTTCCTGGATTCGACATAAACCGACTGACCACTCCCACTACATGGCCAATGTCTGGTCTTGTACAGACCATTGCGTACATCAAGTTTCCGATAGCTGAGGCGTAAGGAACCTGAGCCATACTCTCTTTCTCTTCTTCTGACTGAGGAGACTGATCCTTCGATAGACGAAAGTGGCTGGCCAAGGGTGTGCTCACAGGCTTGGCGTTGCCCATGTTAAATCTCTGCAAAACACGGTTGATGTACTCCGTCTGAGATAACTGCAAGAGACCTCTCTTCTTATCTCTCGTGATTTGCATTCCAAGGATCTTCTTCGCTGGACCCAAGTCCTTCATGTCAAACTCCTTTGACAGCTGCTGCTTCAAACTCTTGATATCTTTCATATCTGCTCCTGCAACCAACATATCATCAACATACAGCAGTAGGATGATATAGCTGGACTGATATCTTTTGAAGTAGCAACAGTGGTCGGCGTTACACTTCTGGAAACCTTCCTTGTGCATGAAGCCGTCAAACTTCTTGTACCACTGCCTTGGGGCTTGTTTCAGGCCATACAAGCTCTTCTTGAGTCTGCACACCAGGTTCTTCTTCTTTTCTTCTGAGAAACCTTCTGGCTGGTGCATGTATATCTCCTCTTCTAGATCTCCGTGAAGAAACGCCGTCTTCACGTCTAACTGCTCGAGATGAAGATCTTCAATTGCTACAATACTCATCACGGTCCTGATAGTATTTAGCTTCACCACGGGAGCGAAAATATCGGTGTAGTCAATTCCTTCCTTCTGCTGGAAACCTTTGACAACCAATCGGGCTTTATATCTCCTGGAACCATCCTGCTCCTCTTTCACCCGGTACACCCATTTGTTGTGGAGTGCCTTCTTACCCGTGGGCAACTCAGCTAGTTCCCACGTCTGGTTTGATATGAGAGACTTCATCTCATCTTTCATTGCAAGCTCCCACTTGCTCGCATCTCCACACTGACAAGCTTCATCAAAGCTTTCAGGCTCCCCACCATCTGTCAACAACAGATAGTTCATGTATCTCCTGTTGGGTACAGGAGGACGAGAAGATCTTCTTAATATCGGAGCTGGTGCGTCGGGCTCCTGCGCACCATCTTGTCCAACAGGCTCTTCTTGCTGAGGACCCTCTGCATTGGGTTCTTCCGAGAGGTTACTCGGGACATCATCTGCATCTATAAATGTGGACTCGCTCTCTGAGTCATCTGTCTTGTGCATGTCCTTGTACATCACCTTCTCGTTGAATATCACATCTCTGCTCCTGATCACTTTCTTGTTTTCGTTGTCCCAAATGCGGTAGCCGAACTCATCTTCACCATAGCCGATAAAAGTGCATTTCTTTGATTTGGGATCAAGCTTATTCTTGCCTTGATCACTAATATGCACGTAAGCTACACAACCGAAAACTTTAAGATGTGAGAGTTTTACCTCCTTTCCGCACCATACCTCCTCTGGTATTCTGTGCTCCAATGGAACCGATGGACCTCGGTTGATTAAGTAAGCTGCTGTGTTGACCGCTTCTGCCCAGAACTGCTTCGGTAGGCCTGATTGTACTCGAATGCTTCTGGCTCTCTCTGTCAATGTTCGGTTCATCCGCTCAGCTACACCATTTTGCTGAGGCGTGTCGGCACGGTTCTCTCCATTCTGATCCTGTGCTCATAGCAGAACTTCTTGAATCCGGTGTCTTCATACTCACCGCCATTGTCGGTCCTGAGCTTCTTTATTCTCAGACCGGTCTCATTCTCGATCATAGCTTTCCATCTCCTGAAAGCCTCAAATACTTCTGACTTATGCTTCAGAAAGTAGACCCACACTTTCCGAGAGTGATCATCGATAAAAGTCACGAAGTAGTGTTTTCCACCAATGGATGCGGTGGTTGTTGGTCCCCATACATCTGAGTGAACGAGCTCTAGCTTCTGCTTCCTGGGGGTTCTGCCACTTGTCTGAAAGCTGACTCTCTTCTGCTTTCCAAGTATACATTCTTCACACATATCCATCTCCACTGACGCCTGCTGCAATTGAGATCGAACAACGTGCACCTGCTGTCATATATAGGATACCAGTCTTCCTGCCTCGGGCAATCGTCATTGCGCCCTTTGAGATCTTCCAATCATCTCCGTGGAAGGTCGTGGTATATCCTTCGCCAGCCAACTGGCCTACGGATATTAAGTTCTTTCTCAGGTCGGGAATATGCCTGACATCCTTCAGCTCCCATACTGACCCGTTCAACTTAATTTTCACCACGCCTTTGCCCACAATAGCACATGGTTGATCATCACCAAGATATACGTATCCAAGATTTCCGGGGGTATACTTCTCGAAGAATTCTTTCTGAGAGGTAGCATGGAACGACGCTCCTGAATCTAACACCCAAGATTCCTCCTTGTATACCTCTCGAAGAATTCTCTCTGAGAGGTAGCATGAAACGACGCTCCTGAATCTAACACCCAAGATTCCTCCTTGCTCTCCAAAGAGCATATCAATGCGTCGTCTCCTCCTGAGGTGGAGGTGACATTCACCTCTGCCTTCGCTTCTTTCTCCTTCTGTGCACTTTGCACTGATTCTTATAATGCCCGGTCTTTCCACAATTCCAACACTCGATAGCCTTCGAGCTGTTGCTTGGATTCCTTGATTTGGACCTCCTGTCCTTTGATCTACCTCTGAAGTTTGATTTGCTCCCCTCAAACAATTGAGAGCTGGAGTTAAATGACGAAAAGAAAATCGCTGCTGCGATTTGGGTCCGACGCCGCCGCTGAAGAAAGCCACGCGAGGGAGAGAGATCGGAGGAGAGAAGCCAAAATCGCTGCTGCGATTTTTGTGCCGCCGCCGGAAGAATAAAGTCGGAGGGGGGGTAAATCTTCGGCCTGAAAAACCCTAGGGCAGATGGAGGGGGTTTTATATATAGGCGGACGAGACAGGCTGGCGACAGCCTGTCGGAAGATGACAGGTTGGCGACAGCCTGTCGCCAGCCACGCGAGCATTCAGCTCGACGTGAGGGGTGCGTTCGTCGAGGGTTGCGTTCGTCGAGAGTTGCGTTCGTCGGGGTCGCGTTCGTCGAGGGTTGCGTTCGAGGACTGCGGGGCTCGAGCTCGCCTGGGGGGTTCGCCGTCGATTTCGCCAGCGTCATCTCCGAGCTCGTCGGAGCTCCTCGTCGCCGGCGGAGGTTCATCTCCGAGCTCGTCGGAGCTCCTCGTCGCCGGCGGAGGTTGGTTTCCACCCCCAATTCTAACACTATTTCCAGAGTTCTTAACCAAAGGAAGCAACTTTAGGGAAATTTCTTTTAGCTGCACCTTGAAATTAAATCCAATATAGCACAGTCGAGCAATTTCTCTAATTAAATAAATAAATAAACAAGTGAATACCTGAAGCCAAGCACCGGGAGCGCATCCAAGATCGAGAACCGAAGCGCCCGCACCAATCAATTTGAACTGTTTTTGCAACTGAAGAAGCTGCAAGAAGGGAAAAAAACAAAATTGAACATTAAAAAAATCCGGGAAAAAAAAAGAAATAACATCTTTCGATTTAAAAGCTGCGACCTTTAGAGATTGAACCGAAGAGGAACGAACCTTGAAAGCGGATCGAGCTCATTTCTTCTTTCCAGACGAGAAATCGAGAAAAACCCTAGCAGGAGGTTTTGGGTTATTTTGATCGGATCGGGATCCTCGGTGATGTAATCTTGACCGGAACCGTTCGTTCTCATTCCTGCCTTTTCCGCGTCGCCCACAAATCCCGATAGATAAGCTTATCACCCCTCATGTGACCCACAAACATAATTTCAAAAATAATGTATGAGGCACACCAGCCCACCACAACCCCAACCAGCAACTCACCCCTCTCATTGCTACAGTAAAACCGGGCCCCACAATGGGACTTTATATTTAAAATCCCATGTGGGGCTGGTTACTCGAGCAATAAGAGGGAAGTGTGGTGTTGATTGTGGTGGGTAGGTGTGGGTCCCCTAACACACTCATTCAACAAGCTTCTAAAAACTAAAACAAGTATTGAAGAGGGGTGGGTGGGTGCGTGGGTGGGGGGGTGGGGCGGAGGACGCCTAATGAGAGAAAAGTCTAGTAGGAACATGCTGTTTCTAATATCTATGTTAAAGGTAATGGTTGTATGGATTTTCTGTATTATTTCTGTTAGTTTACATTGATATTTTAACTGTTTGTAATGATTTAAAATTGATAGTGAGACATGTGTCCCGTCATCTTCTCTTGAAATGATATACTACATAATTGTATATTTATAAAATACAACATATATCCAGTTGCAAAGGTTAAAGACTTAAAGTTAATGACTGCATTCGATTTTTGAATCAAATTATACTGATTCCGTGGTTACTTTGTATTTATATTTTACATGTACTAATGATTTTCTTCGAGGTCACATAGACTGTGGTCAGATAATTATTTTCCCGTTTCCGCTTCTCTGAAATTAGTTCCTCGATGCCCACCCAAAATAAAAAAGGAAGAAGAAAAAAAAAATCTCTCAAGGTTAAATTCCAGCGTTTGGTTCAAGAACCCATTAGAGGAAAACAAAATACCAAAATGAGTCTGGACTCTTCTCGCAGGAGAGCAAGAAGCCCAAGCGTAGAGGCCATTGATTGCTGGAGAGGAGCGATATTTGTGGAGGAATCGAGTCATGGAGGTTATTTATATAACTTGAGTTGTTTAAAATTAGTATTTAAGTTTCATTTGTTATGAAAACTTGAAATATTTAATCTGAGAATTCTCCAGTAACGTTCACATGCTAATTTTATAACTTTCTAAACTATTAAATTTACTAAACTTACAGGTAAATCTATTCAAATTTTATGTTTCAAATAGAATCAAAATATGTTTAAATTAGAACATGGGTTGGATTAAAAGTAAATTTAACAAATATTAATAACTAAAAAGCTCTGAAATTAGTATGTGAATGTCATGCGGAAACTTTCATATGGAATTTTTTATATTTATATAACAGATGATGCTAAGGTGCTAATTTTAAATAAGTCAGTATATAACTGCTCCGAAAAACAACTGAGAGTAAATAAGTGCTAAATAAGTAAAACATAAGGTATTTTAGTACAATTTAGCCTTTGGAAAATATCAACTACTCCACTCAGTTCACCGGCAATTCATTTATCAGGCACCATTGAGGCCAAGCTGCTGTGCATGATTCATTCTTTTTTTTTTCCTTTTTCAATTTTTTCCCCAATCATTTTTTGTTATGCAAGTTCCAGGCCTCATCGTAGATTGAGAGCTTCGACTATCGGCGGCCCAACCTTTTATTTGATTGAATTGAAAGCTTTTTTTTTCCCCTCTCTCTATCCCCAGTATTCATGACTTACGGGAGGATTTTTGTCTGAACAATGGAATCTATTTAAAACATTTTATGGAAAAACACTAAATTTTCGTTGAGGATGGTCGACATTTTTCTCCATGGATTCACTAGAGTTCCATGGAATCAGACTGATCCTTGTTTTAAATTTTTAATAGTGGATCAACCAACCAAAAGCAAATCATTCCAATGTCCACCAGTTAACTGGTTTTTTTTTTTTTTTTTTTTTTTTTCTGCCAATGTCCACCAGTTAACTTGTTTTTTTTTTTTTTTTTTTTTTTGAGCTGCAGAAACACATGGACGTATCTGTGATTAGCATAAAAACATCGTCTCATGACTCAAAAATCTCAAGCACATTTGTTGGAAACTCACCTCAACCAGACTCAGCACGAATCTAGAGCAACGATAGGAAGACAGTACAAAGTTCAAATAAGCATAGAGACAATAAAGTTCAAGGTGTTCAAAGTCAAGAATATTGAAGAAATGTTGATTTGGTTCAATCGAAACCAAGGATCAATGCACATCAACGTAGAAGAAGAAGAAAAAACAGGGTTTTGAGAGGGGGGAAAACAAATATCTGATACCTTCATTACTGATACTTGCAGCTTGAAATCGTTAAAACCGCTGATACTCCTGATACCTTCATTACTGAAGGCAAGTTAAAGCGATGGACGACACCCAAGATCACAATAATAAAGGAAATCTCCATATTAAATGGGTGCGAGCAAACCATCATAAAGCTGGAAGATTGGTCCCTCAAAGCATCGAAATTTTAGTTCAGAAACCTGCAATTTGAGATGCTCACGATACTTAAAGAACAAGAGCGTGTACCTGACAACAAGCATACACACTACATAACAAACCCCTGCTTCAGCTTACTCAACTTTGCTCAGAGAACAATAAACAACAAGAGGATTCAACAGACAAACTTCATTACCAAAACAAAAGGTACAATAGCGAGAGCTTCAAATGAAAATCCCATTAGCAAAAACAAATGGAAAGCAAGACCACAACTAAAACTCCCACAAGATTTTCTGAATAAGACACAATGCAAAAACGATAAACAAATTATCGCTTTCTTCTCTTATTCCCTGGAAACTCACCTTTGTTAAAACCCCTCAAATCATTAGTAGTATCAGCAGTATTTTGCTTCTTCGTCCCCTTTCGACCACCATGACCAAACTTAGACTCCCTCTTCTCCCTCTTCTTGTTACTCCCGTGTCTACGAACTCCTCCAGACCGATCTCCGGGAGCAACCCCTGGCCTCCCCTTCTTCGATCCAAAATTTTTCTCACCATCCAAATCAAAATCCATTTCCTCGCCTTTTCCTTTAGCAAACCCACTCTGTTGCCTCTGCTTCCTCCATTTCTTAACAGACTCAATATCCTCTTTCTTGCGCTTAGTCCTCTCTTTGTTCTTCTGAGCTTGGACCTCTTTAGCAATCTTTTTGGACTCTCTCGCCTTCTTCCTCTCTTCTGCCTCCTCAATCTTCTTCTTCTCCTCTAAAAGTTTTCCTTTGATCTTTAACATGTGAGAATCTGGCTTGACCATCTCAGCGTAGTAATCTGGTGGCCTAAGAAATGGCAGTCCCATTGCCTGCAACTTCTCAAACGCTTGTCGAGTTCCATCTAGAGCTTGAGTGTAAAATGACATTTCACGTGCCAAGTCATCATTCACATCGATATCTGCAGGCAAATCATAGTCAACGGTGAGTCTATGGATCCAATCTGCATTCTCAGGCCAGGCTATGTCTTCAAGCTTTTCGAGAAGGCCTTCTTTGTTGTGGATGGCAGCTTTTGAAGGTTCAGTGAGAGGAACCTCTTCATCTTCGCTTTCGGATTCAGAATCCATCATCTCTTCATCAATGTCATCCATGGTATCTTCCATTGTTGCAGGCTCAGAAAATAAAAGCTGTGGTTTTTTCAGTGCACCCATTTTGAAACTGAAGAAGGCATGCAGAAATAAGAAAGATCAAGCTCATCAGTATGTGATTTTGAGAATACTAGTGTAACAGAACTAAGGAAATTTAAGGACCAAGAAAAGGGTATTACAAGAGGTAGAGTTCAAAAGACAGAGCGGAAAAGGGCCTTTACACTCCCTTCGCAATTCACATAATGGAAAGAGGAAGGGTGCAGATAAATGTCGACAATTTATATAAAACACAAGCTGCAAGAGCACAAAAATATATGGCTAACAGATCCAATTGAAAACCAAGTTACGTGATGCAATACATTTTCATAAATCCTTTCACATATTAGCCACAACAATTCATGTTAACACTAAACAAGATGTAAACTGAGAAGAAAATGAATCACATTAAGCTTAAAAGTTATTGCATGTCAATTCAAACGTTCACATGATTCATGTATTAGAAGGATCCCGACTACAAGAGGAAAAAAATAATAGCAAACAAATCATTAGGTGTTCAGTGATTATAAAGAAAACTTAGACGTCCTTCTATCTTATTCTAGTTCTCAAATGAAATAGATTTGCATCAATCTAACATATAGAGCAACTGGTTATATCTTAGTGAAACTTGTCCTATTTAATACTTTAGTGAAAATACCACTGATCTAACCATCTGAACCTAGGTAGCACGGATACAGACCCGGATATGGACACGGGACACGGCAAATTTGTGAAAGATACATGGAAGAGTATCTTAATTCCTTCAAAATCCCTCTTTTTCATCTTAAACCAACTTTCTTTTAATATGTTTTTACTCCAGAGAGCATTGTCTTGCTTATATGTTTCAGGTTGTAGGGTTTAGGGCTTTACATTTTTGGGCTCTAATCTTAAAAAATATTATGAGGAGGGCAGAGAGGCAAATTGATGGTGCGTAGTGTGAACATCTCAAGAGTTTCTCAATTCCCTCAAAACAAAAATATAAAGGAAAACCCACCAAGCTGGATTCATAATCTATTGTGAGAATTAAGAAAATGATAATTCTGGTCATTGTGTTTACAAAACACGTGTGGAGTATCTTAGTTCCTTCAAAATCCCTCATTTTATATCTTAAACCAACTTTGCCTTAATCTGGTTGGATTGTATAAGAGCTTCAGTTTTTGTTTTTGTTTTTGTTTTTGTTTTCACTTGTATTACCATTGTTCCAAACTTCCACGTGTATCAGATTTGACGAGGATCTATTTCTTTTTGTGAAATAAGATTGTAGGACGTCTAATTTTCTTTTAATCAACAGCCAACCAATTACTTTTTTCGTATTAGTTTCTCCTATTGTACTCGGGATACTTCTTATTACTGAATCATGTGAACGGTTGATACGCAATAACTTTTAAGCTTAACCACATCTGGTGTTCCTTTAAATATATGTTCTGCTTTCGTATTTGACATGCTCTGTAGATAAGATGCGAACCGACTTGTGAGAATCTTTTTTCCATTGCATATCTTGGTTTTCAAGCATTTTCATTGCTGATGTCTTTTTCTGCTCTTACAGCTTGTGTTTCTTGTTTAAATTATTGACGTTTTCTAATCCTCTTTCTTTTTTCTTTATGTGAATTGAACTAATCATTCTGTTACAGGAACCTTGAAACTTATAATACTCTTTTGCTCACCCCTTAGCTTCTCATGGTAGTTCTGTTCAAAGTTGTCGCTTCTTTTGTTAGTTCGGATGGTTAGATTGGTGGTATTTTTACTAAAGTATTAAATAGAAAGTTTCACTAAGATATAACCGGGGTGCTCTATGTAATAGATTCGATGGAGATCTATTTGATTTAAGAACTACAATAAGATAAAAGGACGTCTAAGTTTTCTTTATAATCATTGAACACTGATTTGTTTGCTATTATTATTTTTTATACAAAACTACAACAAAATATAATGGTTGCTAGAGAACCACCACAAAATTTTTAATTTTCATAAAACCACAATGAAAACATGCATCCTTAACAAAATGCCACCAAATCATAATTTCCATCTATATCATGTTAAATAAATGTTTGAAAAAGGTTATTTGAAACCCACTTCGAAACTCGCTTCACAACTTATCGAAGGGTAAATGCTTTGAAACTTAACAGTGAAGCTATTTATCACTTGAAGCTTACACCTCATAGCTTAAAGCATAATTAAAGTGTGCGCTTCGCGCTTCATAAAGCACTTCTATTTTAAAGCACAAGCTAAAGACTAGATAATAGGCATAATATTGACTAACATTAAATCTATATACTTTCAGTATGACTATGTGAGTGTAAATAAAATATGTATGTTATGCATGTAGCTTAGTTTATTATGATTTATTTCTGTATTTCACATATATAACTCTTATTTACTAATCAAGACATGAATGTATATATTTGTAATTACTACGCCACTATATATTATATGTTCATTAATTTTACAAATTTAAAATTAAAATATTTAAACTCATGAAGCTTACACTTCACGCTTTGAAGCTTATGCCTCGCTTCATCAAAGGGTCTAGCGCTTCGCCTTGCGTTTCTGCTGTTTTAAACATTGTGTTAAACAATATGCTAAATCCCTAAAATATCCTTATAGCAGGACCCACTAACCTATTATTTTATTTCCTCATACTAACAAGACACCTTATTTTCCTCTAAAACTTTATTAACTCCCTCAAAAAAGTTTTAATTCCCTCCATATACACCCACTCATCCCTCCAAAAATTTCTCATAATGGACATTTACGTCATTTGATACCTTTATTTAGCAAAATATAGGTGTAATTTTTGACTTGGTGGCACTCTCGAAAAAGATTCATATTTCCATGGCGGTTCCATGAAAACTAAAAATTTTGTGGTGGTTCCCCCAAAAAACCACTATAATTTGTAGTGGTTTCCTAAAAAAATATTTTAGCTCTTTATTATAACTCTTTAACTTCTTTGTTGAATTTTTAAAAAAATTCAGAGGCTTTTTTTAACTCCCCAACGACTAAGGAGTTTTCTCTAATTTTCAAAAGTTGGGGAGTCTTGTATAAGTCAAGCCAAACTCTAGGGGATTTGTCATCTGATTTTTTTTTTCCGTTATCGAAATCGCAACCAAAGAAATTCCTGTTAGAATTTGGGGGGAAAAACTCTAAAGTAATCCTAGCCAACAAGCAAGTCAACAGTTTCACAGCTCATTATAGACACAATTGCTAGTAAGTCTCGCCCCTTCTTCTTATCGATTGAATTTTTTATTTCTCATTAAATTCAAAGTTTTTTCTACATACAAATCAATAATGCATTTTATTTTGTACGTATGAAGAAATTCCATCATCTATAATGCATTGTGATCAGGTTGTTCTTAAAGTTTGAAATTTTGATTCCATATGCAAGCACATGAACTTCTTCATTGCCTTGCCATCGTCCTTCATGTTCACATTGTATTTGAAATTTCGAATTGCAAAGTAATTCATCTACACAGGGTCCAACAAGCAAACCTTATGAGTTATAAGCATAATCCCGCGTTCAGCCCGTTAAGCCAAATAGGCCTAAGAGCACAACCAGGTTGATATTTTGTGTACCATCAGACTAAATAGCACGTACAGTTGGCGGTAATGGATGGTCCTGTCTAAGTATCTCATCGGAGACACCAATTTACATACACAAATCGTCCAAGCGATCAGATGATCTAATAACACGAAACAGAATATTATACCCGTTCACCGGGATCCACTTGCTACCTAGATATATTCTACGTACAATCAGACGACAAGCAAGCAATAAAAGAGCCACCCCCAATTTGCCCTATAGCTTGTTTATTTTTTGAATTATTTAACTGTATTAATCGACAAAAAAAAACATGAATTAAATTCGTAGAAAATTGCACTCTGTAAAATACTAAGAAACAGCAAACTCTCTATAATTGTATTCCAATCTGTAAAATAAGAATCCTTTGGCGGCTTCGAGGTTCAATTTGCGTCTTGATTATATTTGTTTACCACCTCAATCTGACGGTGAAAAAATAAATAAAATAAAATAAAAACAGTGGGAAAAAAATGAAAATTTTACCTTGAAAAGAGAAGAGGAGGGCCGGAGAGGCGTCGGCGTGGCTACAGTGGTGGCCGAGGAGGAGGAGGCGCAGCGACCGGGATTTAGGGTTTTTCGGAAAGAGGCCGGGAGGCGCGGGGGGCGGGGATTGATTTGGGTTCGGGTTTTTAAGATGTTAGCGGGTCGGGTTTGGGTTTGTGGGTCGGGTTTTTAGTTGGACAGCTATTCTGAAAATGTCCACTCTTCAACCGGCATTTGTTCTGCTGAATTAATCGTTTATCATCTTCTAATTAATATGCTTCACTTACATTTTCCATAATGAATATCAACTCTAAATTATATTAATAAGAGGTTGAGTTGGACATCTATATATAATACTCGAAAAACTAAGTAAATCTACTAAATTTATCAAACTTCAAATCAAGATTTCACGTACTTCTATCCTGATGATCGTTAAACGCATGTTTGGTTCTAGATTCTCATAACCTCTAGAAGCAAACAGGAAAATCTTTATTTTTGAGCAATGCATTACTACATGTTTTATTACATTTCGGTATAAGCTTTAGTTGGAGTACTAATGTTACTATTTTCTTTTCTAAGGCCCTATTTGGCAACTTTAAAAATAATCTAGATCAATTTGAACTAGCTTCATTTGGCATGGGGTTAAAGTAAAATGCACTTCATTGAACTAGCTAGTTCTAGTTCAATCTCAGTTTGGCTAATTTTTAGACTAGATTTTATTTGAACTAGTTCTCTTTTAAGCTGATAGAGAAGTAATTTATTTCTAGTCTAGTTAATGAGCAAAAGATTTGACCTCAAAAAATCTAGTTTGCTCCATCATTTCCTCTTTTTTTTTCCTTTTTTTTTTCTTTTTTTTCGTCAAACAAGGGCTAAGCACATTGGATTTGGATCATCTCCACTACAAAAAAGTAGTGTAGAGACAATCTAAATCTAACACTTACCATACTCCCGTGTATTGCACTCATTCCTAATTTGCACTAAAAGAAAAAATCACAACCATTAACTAGATAATCAATGGCCGTGATTATGTAGTGGTCCCTCCACTGTTTTTTTTATAGTGGAGAGCATCCGAATCCAAGCACATTGGCCCATTTTCCCTCCACTAAAACCATTTAACTAAAAGTTTGCCAAACAAGCCCCTAAATCTGCAGAATATATCACTCTGCTCCCCTAGCTGTCGTCGACGATGATGGAACTGTGCCAACGATAGGAAAGTACACGTCAAGCACAGGTATTATTGTCGTAAGCTTGATTGCTTTCAAATACTTAATTATTAGTGGCTGCAAATTCTGCTTAATTGGCTCTAATTTTTATTAGTGGGTGCTAGCTAGTGAAGATGATTGATGATTTGTCTTTGGGTGGTTAATTAAGTACGCTTGAGTTTAGTGGGCTCTCTGATTATTCTTGATTATAATTAAAGGAGGAGGAGTGGTATCTCTTTCTTGCACTGCGTCTACTGCACTATTAGTCAATTGGAGGAGGACAAGTTGATAGTAGTTTAATCACAAATTGTTTTTGCTTAATCGGAGT